ACCTTCTGGAAATTTATGAAATGAACAGAAGAATCTATCCTGAAGAGAGCTGTATAAAGGACAAGGCAGGATATGGTACACAATGCCTTTGATCTGACCTGATCCTCATATGCAAAGATAGTCATTTCTTGGCCAAGTTCGAAACGAGTAAATACAGGTCTAACTTGGGTAAGGCAGAGTACATACTTAAACAGTCTTTTTTTTTCTTACAATTTTATTTTATTAAACTGAGGATTTGGTCAAGTCTGGAGTCTGATTGAGAGAAAGGGCCATAATCCAATCCAAAATCACAGGCACTTTACTCTGGATTAATTAGTATTGGCCAATGAATCACTAAGCCTTTTCCATGTACCATCTAAGGATACATTTATACAAGTACACCACTTCAACAAATCACAGCATGACATGTAATTTGCCGGTGTGTGTGTATGTGTGCCATACATCCAGAGTTGTTTCTCTCTACCCTTCTTGCATATATAGTAAACTATAAGTTAAACTGTAGAGGCTATTCCTTGAAGAATCAAATTGCATACAATAGAACATTATGGAGTCTTATACGCCGAATAAAATTGAATTATAGTATTTATCATGCTCTTTTCATATAAATATTACTGTAATCTGAAAAAAATAAATATATTGATTATAAAGGGTTCTTTACCAAAGTTAAATAAAGATGCTAAGAACTGTTTTACAATGAGAGAAAACTAAAATTAAACTTCTATTTTGTTTCCTGTTTGGAGTGAAAAATTTAAAAAGAGAACAAATGTTTTTTTAAATAGACTAAAATAGTTGTTCTACTGTCTACAAAAGAACAGTGGGAATTTACGGCCCTAAGCTAAAGGGAATAGGAAAGCAAAAGGAGAAAGCACACCTTTACTGTTATTTCTTCTGATATGGAGATCAATATGTGAATGGAGGTGCAAAATTTTTAAAAAGCCGCTTTGAGGGAGGCAATTTGGACTGGAGAAGTGATGGTGGATTAATAATCATTTCTCTGCCTTCCATTTCCCTGTTCTAGGCAATCCCAAAACCTCTGCTCACAAGTTTAAAAATCTGTACCTGTGAGTTAAACACTCTGCACATTTCCCTCCCGCCTGCCTGCTTTGAATTCCTTCCTTGTGAAACAGCTTTGCTGTTTAAAAACCACAGGGGCTTTGTTAAACATGTTAGCAATGAGGTTTTCCCCTTTAACCCGTGTTTTCCACTGTTCTGCATGCAAAATCTCCAAGACCACTCCAACTAAACCAGCACCTTGGCACTTGGGAAACTGTTCAATCAAAGTTCTTAAGGCAGATTTTTTTCTGTTCTGACCTGTGCCCCAAACCCATCATTGCGCCTAGAGGCAACTCTCCCCTCAGTACAAGTACAGATTTGGCAAAGAACTTTTTACTTCTGGCTCCGCCTAAACTCAAACCCCCCTGGTTTATTATCCCTAGTACTTCAAGACTACCACAAAAGTGCCTGGCTTAAAACTGTCCACCAAAAACTCCACTCTTGGGGCCTATCCCCACAAGATCTACTCACTATGGGCCTTACCGAAGCATACAGTCTAATTTGCCAACGTCTAAAAGATATCAGAACAACCTGGCCACTATAAGGAAATTCTGCCCACGGTATGATGAATTTCCGTCTTCCCATTTTGATTCTCTGGCCTGCACAAACTAGCTATACCAAAATACAGACGTGCTTTCACACTCGCAAGACTGAATGTCTTGCCATCTGCGGTACTTGAGGGCCGATTCCAAAAGATCCTGCATGAGAAACGCCTTTGCTCCTGTGGAGATGGTAGCACCAAAACAGTGGCTCATGACCTCCTCTCTTGTACTCTCTACAAAGACCTGAGGAACGAGATCATCACCTCACTCATAGTGACCATCCCAGGACGCACAACCACTGCCACAGTGTCCTTTCTCCTGTCAGACCAAACAGAGCAGATAACAGCAAAGGCTGCTAGGTTCTTAGCAGGGGCAATCAGAATAAGGGCCACTATCTGACTGTATTCAGGACCCTAAACTGTGCTTTTATACTAAATTTCCTTTTTCTGTGTATATTGTAATGTTTTATCATTGCTATGGCCATCGGCTGATGCGAATAAAGTTATATCTATCTCTATCTGTGCAGCCCAGCTTTGCCACACAGAAGCTAACTTATGGGATGCTGGACCTGGTGAGAGCTGGAGTCCCAACAAAAGCTGGAAGGATGTGGGTTTCCCATCCCTAAAAGGGGTTTGATCCAAGGACCATAACATTGTGATGGATGACGTCCTTGCCTTAGTACTTATGGTCCTGTCCTTAAAACAAGTATTAAGAGTATAGCACATTTGTTTTCCCTTTTCCTATTTCTAAAAAAAAAAAGAGAGAAATAAAATAAATTTGTAATTGAAAAAATATTTAACTCTTGACCTAGCTCATCTATTCTAGTTTTTCCTCTCTTAAGTCTTTCAGAAAGAAAGAAAGAGAAAGAAAGTTAGTTAAAGGGAGAATTAAACAGGTTCTATAGAGAGCTAAAACCCGACAACAATGTATCACAAACAGCTCAGTAAATAATAGTGCAATTTTCATAGCTAATAGAATGTTTTAACACCTGAATACATTCACATGCCTGATTAAACATTTAACAACATAAACCCATAAAAGATTATAAGTTGCAACATCTCTTTTTCAAGTAGCAACATATTAACCACTGTTGTATACTTCTTCAATTAGATTCCTTTAATTTATTTCTGTTGGGGAAAACATAATATTCAGCACCAGTTGTTTTTTTTAAAAAACAAATGATTATTTTAAACGTGTAATCCATCCCAAAAATAGAACTTGTAAAGTATATGTTCAAACCGTAGCTCAAATCTACTTAAATTGTAATTTTTCTTTTAGCTGTCCTACAAATCAGCTTTTGCATATATGTTCTGTTCCATTCTGACCTCCATGACTCCCTTTTACAATCACAGAGCTGAAACTTGTATTTATTTTCTTTAAAAAAATAATTTCACCCTACCTTGTTTTCCAAGGAAACTCAAGGTGACTAACAAATAAGTAATAACACCACATAAAACAAACAGCATTCCAAACTAGACCCAATACATCAAAATTGAAATTAACAAATTCAGCATTAATTCAAATAAACTCAACCTAAGCCACTATCTTCATCCGGCCAACCAAAAGCAAGCAGAACTGCATCTGGTTAAGAACATTCTAGTTGCTGATATTTAGCTACAAGGTTATTTTTTCCCATAGACCAGGGAATATCTTGCCCTCCAGAGGTTATTGATTGCTAATCCCATCATCCCTGATCACCAGCCATGCTAGACAGGGCTGGTGGCAATTGGAGCCCAATGACATTTGGAGAGTCATACATTCCATCAAGAGACTGGATAACAACACTGAAGCACATTGCAAAATCGCTATACACTGCATGGTATTCAATTAACGTTTTGCAAGGATTAGTGCTAGCACAAGGGCATTTCCCCCCCCCCCTCCTCACCCCATGTGCGCTCCACACTGCCCCCATCTGCTTGTGGGGGCTAGATGAACACCGAGAACAGATTTAGCAGGGGAGAATGTTCTGTCACACAACGTGAAATCCTTGCACTGACAGAACTTTAACCTTAGTGTGTACATTGAATACAGTCCACTGTCCTCTCTAAGCACTCCAACCCCAATAGTAACATAGCAACATGAGGCTACTTTTCAAGGCTGATGTAACCCACACATTCTCAACCACCATACTGCAAATACACAATCTGGATATACTAACGGTGCACATTTGTATTAGCAGGGTGATTTGTTTAGTGTAAAAAGAAATGTTGAAAATTGCATATTTTTTTTGCACGAAATTAAACCTTAGAAAAAGAATGAGCTTCTCTCTTCACTGCTACCTTTTCCTTTTTCAGTGGACATACTACTCCCCAGTCACAGCTACACTAAAATACTGGGATTTTCTGTTATTTTCTTCTGGGCAACAATCACTTCTCTATAGCCAAGAAAATGCAGAAAAAAGCATTGCTTAAAAATGAAGCAGGAAGTCCCTTCAAAATGAAGCAGGCAATCTTTATTATCTAAATCTTGAAAGAATTCTAGAACGACACATATGCCAAGATAAATCCCAAACTGGCTTCAAAACGAATATGGAAATTCCTTCTCCAGTGGCTGGAGAAGTAACTTTCTGAGTCATTCTGAAGCTATTTTGGGGTCTTCCTTTCACGATTGTATGAAGTTGCTCTCTACCACTTGCCAATCACAGCTCTTGACTTCATTCATTGGCTAACACACTGAAAAGTGAGAAGAATATAAGGCATGTACCATCTGTCATTCAAAAACGTGGCATGTGCCCCTCCCCCTTTTTCACTGCACGTCCTGCCTCCTTTTAGGATGCCCTCCGAAAGTGCTGTTATAGAATGATGCCCTTTGACATGATTTTAGGAGTGGGTCATGATCGCTTTTCACAATCATCACATTGCCTGTGACTGTATACAAGGGGTTACAAGTCACTGTATGGTGTGGCCGCTAAACCCCATTTTCACTGAATGGCCCAAATGGTCTTAAGCATAGTTCTAGGGCTGGGTTGTACAGGACTGTGTCATCCCAACATCAGGTGTATAGAATGAACCTTCTGTGTGCTTCCTAACCCCCAATGTTGGTGTGTCAGACCTGATGAACATGTGTTTGTTTTGGGGTATCATAAAAGCTCTCTACACAACTAGCTCAGTGTTCCTGTTCCTACGGAATTCAGGTGTTAAATAATTTATATTAATTTTATATTTTTAAAATGTTTTTTAAAATTTAAATTATTTATACAGGCAATTCCCTGTTTGCACAGGGGTTGCGTTCCGGGCCACTGAGTGCATAAGTGGTTGTGCATCAGCCCTTTCCTGTTCCTGTTCTGCTTCCACCCTTCCCCATTCTGCCCACTTCCAGGGTCGGAACCAGCATGTCGGCAAAAGCACATCAATCAGAAGTGCACAAAATGGTCACTGCAGTTTAATAAAAACAGCAACTCCTTACCATCTATCTGATCCTTCCAAAACCGCTTTAAGTTGTAGTCTCCATGATGTATACGGTAGCTTATTCTGCACCACTGTCTGAGGAACTCAGATCACTAGGGGCAGGGCTGTTTGCTGGCATATCATTCACGTACGTAGAAAGTACATGGATACAGTTAGTTTAGGATTCTTGGAAGTGGCCAGGAGCGATCCCATTTGCAGCCATGAGTCTTAAGTGCATCAGGCAGCCACTTGATCTGAGAAATGCAATGCATAAACGCCAGAATAAATTTCACATAGGTCTTCAGAGGTGCACTCTTCTTCATCCCTAGTAAAGTCACTGCGAGCTTCTCCTGACACTACAGGAACTAGGAGAGAATTTTGCAGAACAGTGACCGTACCAGAGGTCTCCTGCACAGGAGTATCTGTAAACTGCAATGCAGTGAACTGCAGAGGTTTGGCGTCAGTACAGGATTCCATAGGTGGAGGAGCATGAGAGGAGTTCACTGGAGCCTGCTGTCATATACCCCAGCTCAGAGGGTAAGCTAGTAAGTTGGTGCTCCACCAGGGACATGTAGAGCAAAATGGGCCTCGCACACATATTGGTCAAGGCCATGGACATTGAGATGTCATGTCTCACATTCTTCCTGGCTGAGAAATGGGCAGCCACTTCAAAATGACCCGACTGGGGAATTTTAAACACTTATATTTCTGAATACAAGCGCATTAGAGATAGTCAACGCATGCATTCTTTCAAATCGATCTGGCACTAATTTAAGAAGATAAATATGTTTTTAGTTTAATAGAGAAACTGTAAGCTTGTTATAATCACTCAAACATTAAGGTTATTATTATTACTTTCCATCATATATATATATATATTTCTTTACTGCCTCTACGGTAATTTAGAATCACCAGATGTCCGGCCCTAATTTTAAAAAGATTTATCCGTATTGAACAAACAATACTGCAGCCCCACATAGGTTCCTTCTTTCAAATGACTGTGTGCAATTATATCACATATCCATTATGGTCTGTTACTCTGAAATACTGAAAGCACTACACTTCCATCCATCAACGCTTTACCTTGTTGTATTGCTTGTGAACACCAATACAATAACCCTACTTAAGTTCTATTGATTCCAGTGAAAGATATTTAAGCTTATTTCTCCCACTGGAATAATGGTACTTGGAAATGCTTATATTGCCCTTACACAGGACTTCCACCTAGCCCAAATCCAGCTCTCCCTGACAAGTCCTCCAACGACTTGTACACAGATGGATTATGATTTCAAATGATCAGTCGCTAGTTCCTCCCGCTATCCCGCCCTAGGTAGAAAGAAGAGCAGAGACTCTTGTCTTTGCTGCTATCTATTGTTTGGGGTTGGGGAACATCTGGTGCCCAGCCATGGATAGGTTAAAATCTTAGATTTCTCCACTGATTCCTGTGGGTTGTTCTCCCAGGGGAGAGAGGAAAGATCAATTCAAACCAGAAATTAAAAGGACAGTCCTCTCTCTATTTATCTCTCTACGTCATTTATCACTGCTGTCCAGTGGAAGGCAATAGAAGGCACTTTGTTTGGCACTAGGGTCTAGTCTACATAGGCATTTATATCTTACCCAGACTACAAGAAGCTCAGGGTGATGTGCATGGTTCTCAAACCTCTTCATTTCCCCCCTCCCCATTTTATCCGAGGTTGAGAAGCAAATCAGAATGAGAAACCATGATGGCTCCAAAGGTCACCCAGTAAACTGTACGGCCGAGTGAGAAAACGAACCTGGTCCCACTATCCTGACATTCTAACCACCAACCCCACAAGGGCAGCAGAATGGGGTGTGATGTGGGAATGAGGTGCTGAGCTTCTGAAGCGCTAGAATAAACTGCAGCACTTTAAAGGGTGCTTGTGTGTTATTTTTCAGTATTTCCTTGGGTGGTCTACACTCCCTGGCCTGATAACGTTACAGGGCAGAAGAACATCAGAAAATGTTCTCCCCCACCTGCAGAATGAAGTGGTATAAAGCTACCTACCGCCTCATTCTGCTGGGTCTGTGGACCAGGCCTAGGAATTGTACTCAAGGGCTGCCTTTCTCTTATTTAATAGCAAGGCCTCCCTGGAAGCTGCTGCTTGAGCCTTCCTGGAAGAAGTCTCTCAGAAAACACAAGCAATTCCATCCTTTCAGGAGTTTCATGCCAAGCAGGAGAAAGTTCAGTTCTGGGATGGGGGAAAAAGCTTCCAGGCAGAATGTGTGGCTTCTGGCGAGCTGGAGCCACCACGCCTCTTTAACTGTAGAAACCGCTGTACCCCAATCTTTCCCGGCGGCCTCTGCCCACCAGTTCAACCCCTTTCCATCCAAAGCGGGAAGCTCTCTCTGAGGTCAAGTGTCCACTCCCACTCATGCTGGGCTAAGCCAAGGCCCTGTCCCCCCCCCCGTCCGCTGCTGTTCCTCAATTTCCTAACACACATAGGCTTAAAGAAGCCTCTCTTCGGAAGGCAGAAAGAAAACAAACCTTTCCATATTCCTGTTAAGATTACAGGGCGCTCCTTGTGGGTGGGAGGGATAAGGTAAGGGCTCGCTCTGAGGTGAACAGCAAGCACCTCAAGCGACGGTGTGGCGCGCGCGGCTTGTTAATATCGAAAATATCGAATGGGGCCGGATCCTTTTCCTTTCCTTCCTCGCCCAAAAGTTCTGGAGAACTCTAAAGCTCGCTCGCTGTTTTTTGGCCTTTTTGAGAGGCCTATATTTCCCTACTGCGGAATTTGGAGGGTCGTTTTTACAGGGCGTTTTGATACTGGCGAAACGAGGTTGTTGCTGGCCGCTTGGCGGTGGCGGCGGTTACTGCCTCAGAAAGTCCCCGCGTAAAGTATCCCTCCTTCTTGGGACCCACACATTCTCCTCAGCCTGCGGCCAGCGCAGGGAGGGAAGCGAAACCCCACTTTTTCCCGCCCGCCAGTTCGCGCCTTTCCATGCGCCACAGACGAGAGCGCTCGGGCTGCAGGAGGCGTCCTTGGTGGTGGTGGTGGTGGGGCCTCCCTGTAGCGCCCCGCTTCCTCTTCAGCCGAGCAGCTCTGGAAGCCCCCGACCCGAGGGGCTGTGCGGATCTCCGACGGCAGGGTGAGGTCACAGAGCCGGGAGCGTTCGGCGCGCGCCGCGTGTCCTGGAGACCGAGCGCCCCGCCGGCCGGAGCAGGAGAAGCGTAGCCAGGTGGCTGGAGCTAAGTCGTTCCCAGGACAGCGGGGTCTCCTGCCGGAGGTGGCCGGTGGCGAATATGGCGCTGGCCGCTAGGGGTGCCGTCCCCGCCTGCCTCCTCGTCCTCCTCGCTTCCTTGCCCAGCTGGAACACTCAGATTAGGCCCCAGGGAGAACCTGGCCCAGGTATCCTGCGCCGCGCTCCGTCAGGGTGGGGCTGGGCAGAGGCCACCCCTGCAAGGCCGAAACGAGGCTTTCTGTCATCTGGGGCAAAGACCCAATTTGTCACACATACACACACACACACACACACAGAGAGAGAGACCCCCACTTGCCTCCACACACCTCAACACATTTGTTCATAAGGGGCAGAAAAAGGAGTTTGAAAGAGGCTGGATAAGAGAGAGACTCTCCAAATAGTGCAGTTCCCTCTGTGTGTGTGTGTGTGTGTGTGTGTGTATCTGGCTTTCATTCAACCTTAAGTGGATCATCTCAGAGATTAATAGATCATTTGAGGAATTCTAAGATGTATTATGCCTGTATGTAATAATAATAGTAATAATGATGATGATTATCAGGCACATACCAGAGAGTAAACACTATTGAACTGAGTGGGACTTACTTCTGGGTAAAAATGCTTAAGATTCCAGTATAAGATTGCAGAATCTGTGCACAATTCAGTGAGACTTCTCAGTAGCAAAGGATTGCAGTCTAAGGCTCAAAAGAATAAATACTCCACAAGTTAAATAATTGCTGGCTGCTGAACCATTGCAATTGAAGAATTTAAAGTGGATTGGCTACATTTTCCTTCCAAATTACAGGAAAGGATGAACACAAAGTGCTTTGTATGTCAGCATCACATTTCTTTCAGTGCAGGTATTTCATTTTTGGTATAAAGAGGACTCATTTTTTGTAGCTGATTGTATGAAGCAATGCCCTCTTTATGCATTCACATGGTGTAAACATGTATGTTGTCCTTTAGATCCAAGCACACACACAAACAGAGAGAGAGAACACATAAGCAAGCAATGCTCCAAAGTGCTTCTGTTCCCCCAAAAGGGCAAGAGGTGGTGTTCTGATCCCTCCACCGCTTTTAATAGATCTCTGAGACACTGAGAGAAGCAAAAGAATAAACCAACAAAACTTCCCCCTTTCAACTCTGCTTGGAGAGCAACCTTCTTCAGGATTTCTCTTTCGAAAAACAGTTCCAAAAGCAGACAGGGGGAAAGGGGAAGGGGTACATTTTCCAGGTTTTCCTGCTTCCTCTTGCAAATTAGCATCCCACCGGTGCTCAGCAGTTCCTCCTGTACAGTGAATCCATGATAGAAAAGTTGATCTGAATTTAAGGGAGTCTGTTGTAGTCAACAGTTCCATGCTGCTCGGGAATATAGAACAGCCTTTTCAAATAAGTATCTGTGCAAGCCAGTTTGATGCAAACACTATAATTTATTCGCTTAAAATGTTTCTTGTTACCTGGTGCAGTCTTTGCCCAATGCCATAACTCAAAAATTAGATCTGTATTATAACTTATATGGATCATCATGGTCCAAGGCCTTGCATATCCTGTTGAGGTTATTGTCACATTATTGATCAGCTTCTTTGGGGTTTTAGTCTCAAGGTTATTATTCTAATGGTCATTTTACACCAGCCTCAACAATTTGTGACTCACCAAGCTGAATGCAGTGCACCAGCCATGTATGATGGTGTTTGTCACAGGCTTGACATACCTATTTTTGCTGCATGCCCTGGACTGCAGAAGCAGAGCAGGGAGTAGTCAAGTACCCAGCCAGTCACAATATATTATTGCTGGTGTGCTGTGTTAAGCTGATTTGTAAGGAGAGGTTATAGTCTGAAGAGACTACTTCAGACATGGGAAGTAGAATACACTCAGAACTTGACTTTGGTTTCTGGTGTACAAGGTCCTTTATACCTTGTGCATTGTATTAGGGTTCTCCACATTGTAATTGTGATGACTGTATGATCAACATGGTGAATCAGGTATACTTAGGGAGCCTCAAACGGCATTTTTCTCTTGAGAAACAGACAGTATCGTTCCAAGTTAAGCGGGCTATGCAGTGGTGTAGAGCACAGGGGAGTGAAACAACAGAGGTTATTACATTATCTGCTGGAGCAGCATTTGCCATTGTTCTAAAGCTTGCAGAGTTGGAGGTCAGGCACATGATCCATGATATGAGATTAGAACCCAGGTCTCTCCAGCCGAAGGCTAATATGCTAATCACTACCCTACCCTTTGCTAGTTCCTCCTTTTTAGGAATGTCACTTGATCCTAAAATATTTGACTCTCTTTGAGGGCATGGCCTACGGGTACTGGAGTCAGTACTCCAGGTGTGGTCTGACCAAAGCAGAACAGAGTGGTACTATTACTTCCTTTTCTCTGGATACTATACTTTTGTTGATGCAGTCTAGAGTTGTATTAGCTTTTTTGCTGCTGCATCACACTGTTGACTTATATTAAGCTTCTGGTCTACTAAGACAACTAGACCCTTTTCATGTGTACTGTACTACTGCCAAGCCAGGTGATCCTCATCCTATATTTGTGCATCTTACCATTCTTACTTAAGTGTAGAACCTTATATCTGTGCCTGTTAAAATTCATTTTGTTAGTTTTGGCCCAGTTCTACAATCTGTTAAATTCATCTTGATTCCCGAGTTTATCTTCTGAAGTATTAGCTACCCCAACTAGATTGGTGTCACCTGCAGATTTGATGAGCCTCTCTTCAATTCCTTCATCCAGTGTTGAACAACACTGGACCCAGGACAGAATCCTGCAGCAGGATGACACCTCATTTGTCACTTTCCCCCCAGGATGACAAGGAACCATAGGTGAGCACTTTTTAGGTCCAGTCAGCCAGCTGCAAATCCACCTAACAGTAACACCATCTAGCTCACATTTTACCAGCTTCTCCTCCAGAATATCATGGAGGACTTTGTTGAAAGCCTTGCTGAAATCAGTACCTTCTGCTAGTCCTAGAAGCTGCCTGTACCTCCTTAGTTCATCTTCAGTTTTGAGAACCATAGCTCTGGTCCACCACCCAAAAATACCAGAATACATGTCTTTTTAAAAATGTTTTAATGTTTTAAAAGTATGTAGCTTTCATATTTTAATTTTCAATCAATTTCACACATTAAAAATAAATCCAGATTGTCTGTTGGTTTTATCTGTTAATTATTTTAGGAAATGAATTCAAAGGGTAGCATTCTAGAATATCTAGGCAATATGCAATGGCTGTAGATATTGGAAATTAAGTAAGAATTTACTAAACTACTGCTGTACCAGCATGTAATAGTAATGATAGGGTCTGCATATAAATAATAGTAGTTGGAAAAATATTAAGTGAGCTGGTATTTGACAGTGTTGTCGAAAACCATATAGCTATTGTAAAAATATAAATATTTCACTGCATAGGCTTGCTTGCTTCCTTCCACAGTGTTTTCCATCATAATTATGAGACTGACACTGAATGCAAAAAGAATATTTTTAACCGAGTGTTCATATGATGCAGCTGTACTCATTCTTAATCACTCATTAATGTCTCGTCAAAAGAGCACTGTACTTTTTGTTTGTTTCGTTTACCAAAGGTCAGCATACTTGGAAGCAATTGTCATGCACCATTACAGACCTTTTTACATATTTTTCTTGTATTGTTCTCAGTTATCATGTGCGTAAATGAGTCAATTGGTATGCAGATTGTCTGTCATTAAGACCATTTGAAAATCAGCTTTGTCATTGGTTTAGTGTTGGAACTTTGGATTCATGCATATACTTCTTGAATATGTTGTGGCATTCAGAATGGGTCTAATGATGGATGGTCGGTCATGCTAGAATGAACAGTTCCATAGACCTTAGTCAAACTAAGTGAGCAGTGATATATTCCTCCTACACCTCCAGTCAGGATTTTGGGCTAGAAACAGATACTAGTGGGGTTTTTTTTGTTTTTTTTAAAGTGAGTTGAAGGTAGTAATATAGAGGCGTCATTGCCATTTGGTGTGTATGCTTATTTCTTTCGGCTCACTATTAGAAAACAGAAAACATTGAAATATGAATTAGCATTGGTTCCAAGGGCAGACTCAAAGCTCTTTTATGCAGCAGTGGTATATGTTAATTAAGATATCAAACTGGCTTGTTTCTAATGTGGACTGAGAGCAATGGTGCAGCTTTGGTGTGACGGCCTCAGCATCACCATGGTTCAAGCCCTACAATCTGATGCCCTCCAGAAGGGTGTTACAGGAGCCACAAGTTCCCACTGAAACAGAGAGCAACAACACACTCTAGTTTAAAGGTTCGCATATCAATCGGTTCGTTGAAGCATAGCAATGCAGAACATTTAGAACTCGGGCAACTAGCAGAACAGCAATACCTGCAGAGCAGAAGAAAACATAAGAGAGCAAATGAAACCTCTCCTGTGTAAAGCATGTGTGGCTCCTGAGAAGGCAAATAGCTAGTTCTCTCACCCTAGTAGCAAACAGTGAAGATGGGTCAGATCTTCTTAGTGGCAGAGGCATTCCAGGCACTTAAAGTCATGTCTGGTTTTAATTCCTCAACTAGATGTCCCCAGTTTAATCTTGCTGTTTCGTGTTCTCTCTCTCTCTCTTCCCCTGGGCTTTCCATTTCCCTAGCCCTCTTCCCTGCATTCCAAGCTAGATCATTATAGGGGTGAAATCCTCCATTTGTTTCCACCTTCATGAGTTCAAGAAACCCCCATTGTGAAAAGATTCAAAGGTTAAGTTTGCAATTCTAATTGTCTTTCAGTGCGACTTCTTGACTTTCTCACTCAGTCTTGTCTTTGCTTGTTGCTCAGTTTTGTACTTACTACATTGACCTAATTAATTTAAAATAGTGCCTCGTTGTCTCCTCTCAATACAATTCATACAGGAACTAAGACCCTCCTTGAGAATATGCTGTGTGTCTCTTGAACAGTTTAAGCCAAAAAATAAACATTCTCCTGCTTTTCTATCTTACCTCTTGTTGGCATGGAGCCATAGAAACTTCCCATCCTTTTGTTCTTCTGAGTGGTGTTTGGCTTAGGTCAGGAACAGGCAACCCGTGACCCCTCCAGATATCATTGGATTACATTTCCCATCAGCCTCACCCAACATGGTCAGTGGCCAGAGATTATGGGAGTTGCAGTCCAGCGGCATCTGCTTCCAAACCTGAGACCTTAGAAGACTTGCCTCAGCCTCTGAATTTGGGCCTAGGATTATACCGTGCCAGTTCAATTTCAGCACTTTACAGTGGCATGGAAAAAGTAGTTCAGTTGTAGATTGAATGTGTGAAGCAGCTGATTTAGGACGTGTTCAGTATCTACACAAATTTGTTCAGTTTGCTTTCATCATTTTGAAATCCGGCCCAAAATAATTGATCCTATGCTCACTGACTTTGGTAGGTGTATCCTAAAGGTGTTCATGATAACTGATGAGAAGATGGGCAATTTCAAAAGAAAAGTCTTTATAACTGATGTCATTGTGAAATTGTTTATTTATTTATTTTTTGCAGATGTGAACAGTTCAATAAATTCAAAAAATAATCTTAAAGAAATTATTAAATTACTTGGTAAGTAGCAGCTCTCTATCACGTGTTATATTCCCATGTGAATAACATATAAATAAGCATTACATATCAAGCAGAAAGATGTACAAAATGTTAGTCTCCGTATTTCCGGTAAAACTCTAGCCAACCACTTATAGCTGAAAAGTAGGGCTCAAAACTTGATATAAATGGAAAATAATCTGAAAATAGTTATCTGTGTATTAGAGTGTTTTTCATAGTATGCATTTATGTTGACTTCTTATTATTTGTCTTTGGGTTTGTTTGCTTGCATCCCCCCCCCCCCGTTTTCTAGGCATGCTTTTGGAGGGGGAATGGATGGGCTCACAAAGGACTATGAAGTGCAATGGCTGTATGGAAGCTCCCGGTTTAGAGGCAGGGGAGCAACCATGGGGAAAGGCCATTGCCTTCTAGTGGTGCAGCAATAAAACTGATAACCACAATTGCAAAGCTAAGCAGGGTCCAGCATGGTTTCAAATTGGATGGGGAACCACATGTTGATATTCAGGGGTTGGACTAGATGACCCTCGGGGTACCCCTCAACTCGAACTGTATGATTCACTCCCTACTTGTGGGCTTCCCATAGGAATATGAGTGGCTACCGTGCAAAACAGGAATGCTGGACGAGATAGAACTTTGGTCTGATCCAGCAAGGTTTTCCTTGTGTTCTTAGCCTCCTCCATATTTTCTCCTCTCTATTCCTCTTCCAGAAACCTAATTTTACAAAGCCCCTCCTGGACCACAATTGAGCATCACATTTTGTATGTATGTTCTGGTCCCTTTTGTGCATTCCTGGTGTCCACGCTTGCCATTTCTTTGCCAGGCCGTGTTTTAAGCTGTTTGTGCTGTGCACTGGGTGGCTAAGCCACATGTTACTGTAGGCACTTGGCAAATTGCCACACACATTTCTACTGTCCAGTTTAGCTTGCCTCATGGCTCCTCACAATTATTTATTCGATTTATATCCAGCCCTTTATCAAAAGATCCCACGGCGCAGTGTACAACATTGAGAACACATTTTAAGGAGCACAATAATTCAAAAGACTGAGTTGTTTTGCTTATAAATAACAAAAAATTGTGGGCAAGCTTCCATGCCAGCTGCGGATGCCTCTACAAAAGTCAGCCACTTGCAACAAAAGTCCGCAGCCGGATGGTAGAAATCACGAGTGGATATTATAATGCCTAGACTGACTTCCACTTAAGCTTGGATCCTTGGCATATTTGCACAGAAGTGAGCTGCGTTGAGCTTAGTAGAACTGGAGTCTAAATAAATACATTTAGGACTGAGCTGCGACTATTAAATTCCGTAAGAAAGAACCATGTCATGTGTGCGCACTGCACAGTGTATCGGCTTGCTGTCGTTAAACAATTATTGTTATTTCTGCTACCCTCTTTTAAATACTACAAAAGCTTGCCATTTGCTGTTAAAGCTGTTTCTCACGTAGCATAATTCAGTGACAGTCATTAATGGTACTTGTATAGTACTTTTTTTTTTAAGTGTTCAGAGTACTTCACATACATTATCTGAAAGTTCCTTTCACATTCCTCACAAGGGCAAACTTCTGGGGACTGTTTGCCACTGGTGTGGAAAATGGAAACATGTGGGTGGAGAAATGGAAATTACCTTTACCTTTTGTCCAGGAGTCTATACACCAGCCACACAAGAGTCAGAGGTTTCTGCAGTCACATATATCTCCATTCCTCGTCCAGGCATTTCTTACAGTTCCAAGGACACATCCCTGCCAGGAAAAGGCACCCAAGGAAGGAATGCAGTGCAGCTGGTTAGGCACATGATCTGGGGATGGGTGTATCCTGGGAAGAATCCTGAAGGCCAGATAGGCAGGCCTGGAGAACCCAATATGACCCCTGGGCCTCATCTTCTCCTTTCGTGCCTTGTAAGATAGGTTGCTGCAAATTAAGTCAAGAGCAGGAAAGGCTCAAGGGACATAGCTTACCTACAGCCATCATGTGAGTTCATGGCTGATTTGAAAGATTGGAGATTTTCTGGCTCGCAGCTACTCACCGCACAACAATTTTAAAAGTTTGGGGTTTTGTTTTTTGGTTAGGATATTGTCACATGTATATTCATGCAGATTATTTTATTTGCAGATCACCGAATCCAAGTTCTGCACCAAAAGAATTTGATGCATGAACATGAACCCTCAGAGAAACAGGACAGATCATTAACTGTACACTTGAATGTGGTCAAAGGCAGGTGGTCCCCTGTTGTTGGATTTTGTGTTTACTAACCTTCCTATGGAGAAGGCCAGCATTTAATCTCAGTAACACTCAAGCACTACTTTCACCGTTAATCTACAACACATTAACTTGGATACCTATCCCTTTTTATCTGGAGGAACAAGATTTATGAATCTCAGCAAATTTGCTCAGTGTCATAGTCCCAAGGGATGTTGTGTGAAAAGTGTGTGGTTGTGTAGTCTGCATGGCTGTTTTGTAGTGCAGAATATCCTGCTTAAAAATGTTAACATATCAACTATATTGTTTCAGGATCCTCTGTAAAAGTGAAGGCAACTCCTAGTAGTCTAACAACACAAGAAATCCCTTTTCCCAATAGCTATACAGTACTGATTGGTTACAAGCTGCACAAGATTTCCCCAAATATCCTTGTGGACACACCAGTGAGACCTAATAAAGTGAAGGGTGCAGGAACCGAAGAAGAAATAACTTTGCTTCCTGGCTTGAAACAGGACAAAAATGCTGGTAATAATGATGGCAAATCAGTAAGAGCAACTAATATCACTGTAAGATTCCTTTCCGCTGACAATTCAAGCAGAACTGAGATTGACATTTACAATTTAAAAGATTCAAGAGAAGTCCCTGAAATTCATGTTGTAGCCAGCAACATTATGAACCAAGGCATTAAAACTGATACAGTAGTATTAAAAGGCAATGGTTTGCAAGTGGTAGTAAACAGTTCAGTGGATAATAATGTGAAGCATATTCCTGAAAAAGGGAGAAGAACAGCCCTGATATTACCTGATCATGGAAAGACCACTGCAGATGGCAGTAAAAGAGACCATCCTTTCACAGGTAAAAGACAGTATTTTTCCTTTCAGTGAGATGTAGGGGTTCACCCTGAAACAAATTTTCATACTGTTGTGTCGGTATATTGTTGTTGCCATAGAATTTGCAGAACAATTATGTACCCTAATGAAATTAAGTGAAATGCAATTGGTCACGTGTGCCATACTGTTTTGTCACCTCTAATATGAGCAACATATGTCTCAGTTCTTGTGTCAGTCTTTCTTTTTTAACAACAATCTTGTGATTTTAGGCTGAGAGGTTGAATTGACTGGTGCCATTTTGTCTATGCAGTAGATAGGAATGGCTCATGATATTCAACGTTACAAGTCCACAGTATTTCAATTCTCTAAAACCAGCACCTCACAGGACCGAACATGAAACAGCTCTCACCATTATTAGAGAGAATAGTGACTAAGGGTGAGCTGCAAACCAATAAATCCCGAACTGAAATCTCACCTCAGCCATGAGCTCACTTGGTGATCCTAAATAGTGTGGTGATTAAAGGAATACTTGCCTACTTTACAGGGCTATTGTAAGGATTACAGAGATAATGTATGTGAAGATTTGAACACTTGAAATAGCTTTACATAAATTGTAAGATTGTTATTATGTATGGCAGGTATGCAATACCATCCTGAGAATTCTGCAACCCTAATCAGCATTGCTTAGAAGTATATTCCATCCCTTGCGTTGTACTGGTAGTGTGGTTGTTACCGGGAACATAAAATGAATAGGAAGCCATCTGTGTAAAGGAACTACCACTTAGTTTACTGCTGTTGTTTTCGGAGTGGCTGGTGTGCTTATGATCTCCTAAACCGTATCAGGAAAACTTTCACACAAATGGCTTTCTATGGGGTTTGGAGCCCATGTGGTTTGGCTTCAGTGGGGCTTACTCTCAAGTAAGTAAGTGTGTATAGAATTGCAGCCTGAAAGTCATAGCTAAATCAACACCTGATACAGGAAATTACACTTGTGTCTAATCAACACACCAGGGTCCATAACTCTTCTCATGCAGTTAATACCTGTGGAGGGCTCAGGAATATTTTGCATACACCTTGGGCCTGGATACCGTGTAGACCCAGAAATAATTCCTGTGTATAATGTGACTTGAAATGTGTGCTTGGTGCGCTTTTTATGATGTGTGAAGAGTCTAAGCAGGCAAGACTGAATCCTGTCCCAAAAGTTTCCCCTCTATTTTAAGAAACTTGCTATATGTGTATTTACAGCTTTCAAGCTAGTAAAAGCTGCCCACTTGGAAAAACCTGCAAGCCAGTCTCTGGTTTATGAAGATATTAACCGAAAAGGTTAGCAAATACGTATGTTTCTTCCTCCACCCAATTCAAGGTTGTTGTTTTTAATAAGAGTATGAAATCTGGCAGTGTGCGCACAGAATTCCAGATACGTTTTATAACTTTGCTGTTGAGGGGGCAGCTGTCTGTGTGAATCCTCTTGGTGCTAGTGGTGCTGGCTCCCACATTTAAGTCAGTGGCAAAACTTCCTTGACCAGGAGTTCCTTGCGCACATGAGAGTGCACCACAAAGTTTTTTGATCAGAGCTGCTTTTCCATGATTTACCTTACTATGTGAAAGGGATTTTCAAACATCACATATGTTCCCGCTCTGGGATTGTTTTTTGAACGGCAGGCTTATAAATACCGCAAATAATGGTTTCAAGTGTAAAAACAACAACTTGTTACCCAGGGCTGGAAATCTAGTTATACCTGCTGTTAACTTTGCAGATGCAAATGCTCCCTTGCCACTCCAGCCCCTATCTCACTATTAAGGAACTTTCCTCTTCTGTTTCCAGATAATGTAGTTTCAGCCTTGGTTACACCAGTACTTTGGGTGACTACATTATTACTTCATCTCAAGGGTGGAGTATCTCTTATGTGCTAACACACCAGGAATTGAAAGTTTTAAATGTTGGATTTATTTTTGCAAGAAGGCATAATAGCTTGAATTAAAGGTCAAATTTGACAGGCTGTGGGTCCTCCTGCAAAGAATGCACTTGATAATCTGCATTATATTGTCCCATCTGGAAGAAATGTGACAGACAAATTTAACTGATAGATCAATTTTATGATGGTAGAATTGTCCTATTAAAACTATGACATCAAATAGATTTGAGCTTTCAGACAGCGATACTACTAAGGAACCAAAAAACTTATCAGTTTAAACTGTTTTAGCCTTTTAGCTCAAGTAGTATGTGAGGTGCAGAGCTATAATGAACATTGCTTATAGCTGCTTATAGTTTAAGCAAAACTGGAGGCATTTTTGTGCAACTCTCGAGACTCACTTCCCATGTTAGGATTTCTCTACACTCAACTGTTCAAAGAGCAGCCTGAGACTGTTTGCAAGAGGGCTTTCAAACAGCCCCACCGTGTGCTTTCAAATCCCAACAATGATTGACAGGTGGGCAACCCCACCCACCTGCTAGATTTGTCCCTCCAGGGGTGGAGATATAAGGATGTGGCCTTTCACAAACATTATAGAAAAAGAATTGGAAATATTTGTGTGCCTGTGGTGCCCTTGAGTGAAAACTGTGTATAGAAGCAAGCACAGTATGTTCACACCTCTGCCAAAATATGTACAGGCAATCTTTGTTTTGGGTGGGTTGGGCTGCCCCCACACATGTCAGTGGAGGGCTCCACCCCCACCCCATTCTGTCCTTTTTTGTGACATTTTTGTGATGTTTTGGGGCTCCTTCTGGGTTCGGCGCCATGTGTGTTTGTGCAATCACAGTCATTTGGATGTGCTTTAAATGGGAGTTGCTTGTATAGTGAATGCATGATGGGATAGTAGAATTATTGTCTCCCATTCCACTCCACCGTTGAAAATCCATAGTAAATGCAAACGGGCTTCCACACACATAGTCACTACGGAAGGAGGAAGGGAAGGGGAAGGATTTCTAGGACTGGGACAATGTGTGGATACGCTAACACTCCACTTGCACGCAGTGCTATTTTTCCAGAAAAAGAGGTGCCAGAACTCACCATGAACACCTCCCTTGTTCCCTTAAAATGACAATGGCGCCCACCTGGGAGATGTCGGAACTGAGTTTCGGGAAATTCTGCCTGGGAAAAAAAGCCCTGCTTGCATGGTAGTGGCACACAATTCCACTGTCCTGTGGTGCATTCAGTATTTATATAAATGACTAGGACCCTGCAGTCATGCAATCACTCATAGCCATGGTTCCATTTTCTCTCCAGTAAGGGAGCTAGTAGTAGAACTAACATTTTTCAGAACTAAAAATGGTATTGTGTGTTGAGCTGTCAGCAGCAAAATGCTTCTGACATTTCTCTGGAATTGATTCCACCTTCTCTGAGAGCTCCACACTGTCAAGCTGATCAAGTTTATATTTCATTATGCAGTGTGTATTTCAGCCTAGCAGTTAGTCAGTTGCCCAGGCCAAGTTACACTTCTCTTATCATTTCAAACCTTCAGACAACCCTGTGACACATAAGTACATGTAAGAGAAGTGGCAGTATTTCTTTGTGAGCTGGTAAACCTAATACATTTCTTTTGCTGAATGATTTTGCTCTTACAGAAAATTAATACACAGGAGCCACAGAATACCTTTGCTCATAGTTATTATTCTATGTAGCTTTCTTATCCAATGTCTTGCAGATAATCACTGCAGAGGTCATCCACAGGGCTGTTGTAGTCTAGTTACGGTTTGCAAACATATTATTCAAAAACTGTGCATTGCAACAATAGGGATAAGGATCACAATAAAATAAGTACCTATAATTGCAGGATATTTTGTGTTTTGTTTTTGAAGTTTTGTGTTTTGTTTTTGAAGTGCCTGAATCTTTGGCATATCAGTTGTTGCTGTTAATTCAACCTCTACCACCACTGAAGAGCAAATTACAAGATTTTGTTGGATAGTTTTGCATTAGATAGCTTTGCGTTATCAAAACCAGTCAGGTTTTTTTGTAAATTGCAGCAACAAGTGCACTCAAAGATGAAGGTTCACAAAGCATAATGACAACAAAAACAGAAACTTCTGTAGAAGAACTAGAAAATATACTAACTGATCTGAAGATGGAAAGGGGTATGTATTTTTTGCCTTCCATTACTTTAAAAAACTTCTTTCTAAAATTAAAGATTAGCAGAGCTTTGATAAAATTGTACTAATGTATTTCAAATTGGTTTCCCAAAGCATTCTTATCAGAATCTCATTATAGAAATAGAGCTGTGGACTCGTTGACATTATTGATTTCACTCTGAACAATTCTGGGGATATTGCTGTTATTAGCATTGCAGTCTTGGTCTGGTCAGAGGATTTTTTTTGGGGGGGGGGAACATGGTATCACACCTACAAAGCAAGAACTTGACTGATCAGATAAATCATTACTTTTAAAAAAATTATTAATAATAATTGCATTTCTATGCAGTCGTACCTTGGTTCTCGAATGGAATCTGTTCTGGAAGTGCATTCGACTTCTGAAAACATTCAAAAACTAGGCGCAGCTTCCAATTGGCTGCAGGAGCTTCCTACACTCAACTGGAAGCCGCGGAAGCCATGTCAAACGTTCGGGTTCCAAAGAACATTCGCAAACCGGACCACTCACTTCCAGGTTTGCGGCGTTCGGAAGCCAAAATGTTCGAGTCGTAAGGCGTTGGACAACCAAGGTATGACTGTATTGCCCTTCATCTAATGATCACAGGGCCTGAGCTGTTTAAGGCTTTATAGGGCAAAACCAGCACTCTGAATTGGGCCCAGAAACTAATTGGCAGCCAGTATAGTCATGCCAGGATTGGCATTATATGTGCAACCCATCTTGCCCCGCTGAGCAACCTGGCTGCTGAATTCTGCACCAGCTCAAGCCTCCAAACCGTCTGCAGAGTCGGCCCCACGTGTGGCACGTTGCAGTCATCTAACGTAGAGATTAGATTAATCCAGAAAACTCAGAAATAAATACTGCTTTCTTGAACATAGCTCCTGACTTATCAGTCCTCTTCATGTGTTGCTTAAAAGTTAAGACAGTAAGCTTATGTAATGGGCTTTAGGCCTCAATTTCTAGTTTCCTTTGTACAGGCAGAGCAACCCTATGTTCCTGGCCACAGCTACTGCTGTATCCACAGCCCTTCCAAGAGGGACTGGCTAATGCAGATGATGTTGGGGCAATTTTCTCCACTTTCCCCATTATTGTTCTTTTATATTTTTCTTCCCATTGACTGCAGCAACACTTAACAGGTGCTGCTGCATATTTTTCCAGTCTGTTTGGGGAATAAGGAGGCTTTTGATCTTCTGGATCAATGGCCTCTCTCTCACACACGCCTCAAATGCCTTGTTCCTGACCCCTCTGTGTGCAGCCAGCCATTAGTGGATCAGCAGTAGCAGCAGAGCTTTCGGCCGTCACACCAGGAAGACCTCTGACCAGGGACAAGGAAGTCCATAGTATGCTATACACCAGGTGTGGGGAACCATTGGCCATACTTTCTGGGGCTGATGGCAGTTGTCACTCCACAACATCTGGATCACCACAGGCTCCCCTACTCTGCTGCAGACCCTCAGTTGCCTTCCCAGGAACCCCCTTATGCTGCAATCTTATACACACTTGGTAGGAACTAAGCCTCATTAAACTCAGTGGGATTTACTTCTAAGCAAACATGTTTATGATTGCACTGCTAATCTCTTCTGTCCCCACAACCGCATGATGAAGCATCAAAATTTGTCACTTGCCTAAACCAAGGTGAAGGAGATGATGATCAACTACGTCAGGGGGGAAAAATTAGTGATGGAAAATTATGTGTGATTGTGACTTGTCAAAGGCTAGAACTTGGCAAGTTAAGCTTCATGAACGAGCAGGAATTCAAATCTAGCTTTTCCTTCTTTAAAGCTGTTGTGTCAGGGATGAGGAACTACTGGCTGCCCAGATGTTGCAGGACTACAGCTCCCCTAATTCGTGGCCATTGGGCCAGGGAGACCGAATCCAGCAACAACTGGAGGGCCGCCACATCCCTGCTTTAGAACCTCTGGTCGAACTGGCAACAGGTATAGTTATGGCATACTCATTTAAGATTGGTTCCAGTTGATTTGTGTGCAACTAATTATTTGCCTTCTCACCGAACTTTCCCAGTGTAGCAATGACAATTAATTCAATTGTTGATATTTTTTTGAAAACAGTGAAGCAAGAGACTCCATCCACTAATGAGAAATTGCAGTCTTCAGTAATGGAAGATATTCTTCAGGATTTACAGGAACATCTAGGTAACTCTTATTGTTTCACTGAATTGTACAGACTGCAGTACGTATTGATGAGGTAATCATAGCAATGGGGATGTACCATATTGCATACGGTATTAAGGGCTATTGGTATGTGGGAGGAAATAAAATCAGCAAGGCCGGTAGGCCTACTACTACTGTTGAAACGAGGATGCTGTAGTCATCATTGGTTTATTCTCTGTCTAGATACCAAAAATTCTGAAGAGGTGGAGTAATGCTAAATTCTAAAATTGCTCACTTGTTAAAAATAGGCAGTGGGGAGTTTCATAATTGTGGAGTCAGATATTCCCCTAAATATAATTGAGTTCAGATTTATTCCTGAATGTAATTTAGTTAAAAAATTGTCAAATAGAAATATGCTTTGCCTTCTTAGATTCTGTATTAACTGTGTATAATCATTTTCACTTAATGGGAAATGAGTATGTAGGGACAGAGGTTTTTGTTTTGCATGTCTCTGTGTTTTACTGAAAGCAAATATCTGAACTCAAGAATTGTATGTATGTATGTATGTATTACTAGCCTTTATAAACAGGTTTTCACCACAGTTGTGGTTCCAAAGTGTTGCACAACATAATAATAAAGTAGTACAAACATTTAAAAGTCAAAAACCAAGTGAAAAAATCATAAACTTAGAACAACAATACAACATCAATTCTTTATTGTTGTTCAAAGACCCATAGAATAACAATACTGTAAGGACAACAAAGCTAAGATCCAATAGATTTGATCAGGTTCTCCAAAAAGCCTGGGATAAATGTTTCAATTAATCAACGGAGGCCCATCAATGATGTTGCCATCTGTGCTTCAAGGGGGCTGGGAGAGTTCAAGGATTGGGGTGCTACATACTGAGAAGGCTTACTAGTTGAGACCAATTAGCCAACACCCCAGTTTGGGGTCCTTTGCAGTTATTAAAGCTTAAAATGCTCATATTAGCAAATGGCTGATTGTTAAATTAATTGGTTATTTAACATAAACGGAAAAGAGGCACATGGCTGTGTCCCTTATGCTTGCCATGCCATATGTCACAGCAGTTTTCTAGTGCAATTATTGTAAGTTACCATTTCATCTTTTGTGAAAAACTGAAGTTCGTAGGCCTTCCACCAGTGACAGCGATGAACCAATGCTGATGGACAATATTTATTCATCAAACGAACTTGAAGACCCAGGTAAATCTTGGTTTGGAGTGCATCAGAATTACTATGGGGTTGCGGCGTTCATCTCGCTTTCAGGCCAAGGGAGCCGGTGTTTGTCCACAGATAGCTTTCCGGGTCATGTGGCCAGCATGACTAAACTGCTTCTGGTGCGATGGAAACCAGAGCGCACGGAAACACCGTTTACCTTTCTGCCACAGCAGTACCTATTTATCTACTTGCACTGGTATGCTTTCGAACTGCTAGGTTGGCAGGAGCTGGAACAGAGCAACGGGAGCTCACTCCATTGCGGGGATTCGAACCGCCAACTTTCCGATCAGCAAGCCCAAGAGGCTCAGTGGTTTAGCCCACAACGCCACTTGCGTTGTGTTAATTAATAACATTTTAAGTGCAGAACATTGCTCCCACGTTTATTCTATAAAAGGAAAGAGAACCATGTTCTAAAGTACATAAGTTTTTAAAATCACATCGTTTGCCTTGGAATACATGCTTATTTCTTGTATAAATAGCCTGTGCAGGATCCCAATCTGAATTTGGACCTTAGTTTAGGGGTTAAGGGATTTTAATCCTCCTCCCTCCATTTGCAGCCCTGATTTGTATTAGGAACCTTGCTATATGCGCCCAAAGGTGCTGCCATCCTCCCAATCCATATTGGAATCCCAGCTGGGGCAAAGGTATAAAAACTCAACCTCATTCCAATACCAGGGTCCTGATCTAGAACTGGGGACCACATGTTGGTTATTTGTACAATAAACATCCTGCATGTAGAGGCAAAGTATCACAAGTAGTTTGGCCTTAAGAATGTCTTTTGGCGGGCATATTTCTACTGAGTGACTCCAGGTGGGGATTGCACATTCCTATGTGTGTTAAACAGTACATCAGATCAGGTTAGTGGAGGCAGAATGAACAGCACATACATTGGATACAGGGGTGTGTATCAGTCATCAAGTTGCCATTGCTTTTTTGGCACAACTAAGGGCCCAATCCAAACTCCCAGCTGACTCCGCCAGCACTCTGCAGAGTCAGGAACATCTCTGCTCAATCCAATCCTAGACAACCTGGCATAAGGGGGTTGGATTGCACTGTAAATAGAATTTTGCATTCACTGGGCATCATTGGTTACACTTATGTTTAAATATTTCAAACCTATGCCAGAAAGCTCAGGGTGGTTTTTTATATATGTATGTGTGTTGTGTGTGTGTGTTGTGGTGTGTCGTGTGTGTGTATATTTGGCCTAGAACTTTCCCAAGGAGGCTTTGCTGGTCTGCACAGAGTAAAAATCCTTATTGAATTAAGCAGAGAAAGGGGAAAAGAAGACCAAGCCACCAAAAGTGTATCCTTTCTAACTGTCAGATAGCATCTCAATTTCGGTATTCAGTGGTTGTGAACCAATGATTTACATAGGCAGCAGTATACACAAACCATGTTGCCAGGTTAGGGTATCTGAAGAAGTGTGCATGCACACGAAAGCTTATACCAAGAACAAACTTAGTTGGTCTCTAAGGTGCTACTGGACAATTTTTTATATATATTTCATGTTGCCAGATGACTGCCTGCACTGTCCGTTTTGAGCCTGGGAAAGCTTCAGTGCCCCACATTCCAGAAAGGTGGCAATTGCTATCAAAGCTGAGGACGTTTGGAAGGGTGCAAGTGTCAAATAATAAAAGAAAAATTACAGGTTCAGTGCTGCTGTTGCCCTTCTGCTGGACAGCTTCAATCAAAGAGGGGTGTGTCCCTTTGCCAGGAAGGCAGGCCACTTGGAAGACTCCTCCTTGTCTAAGGTTAAGCAGATGAGCACATTTGTAGATGCCTCTGGTCACTGTGACGTCAAAGGCATCGAGGGCACACTGCAACTTGGCAAGGCTACTTGAAATCATCTTTCTAGCTGGGGGGAAACGAATTCCATTTTCCTAGCAGTAAAATGTTTACGTTGAGTGCTGGGAAGATGTGGCATCTCCCCAAAAGGGATACCGTACTTTTTCCTGTATAAGATGAGAGTTCCCCGTCTTATGCACGGGGGCATGTTATACATGGAAAAATACAGTACTTTCTTCAAAGGGAAACTGGAACTTGTACAACAAATGAACAATAGATGTACATTATTCATATAGAAGGGCCTTTTTTTGGCTTTTTCCTCCCTGCACAAAATCTGATGGAAAAAAAGAATCACAAAGTTTTCTGGATGCATTTCCAGAATGTACCCAAAGCCAACAGGCAGCCTGTCTTTCAGACTTACACTACTGAGTAATAGCTGCTTGCAACACTTTTGGAAGCTATATATGCTATAAGCTACTGTGGCAATCATATTTGCCATAGATGTTCCACCTAACAAAAATAATGCATTTTCACAATACATCTGACTGCTTGGAAAACATACCTTTTTGAGATATGTAGCCTATATACAAAACAAAACAAAAACAGCAAATGTGCATTCATTTAACAAAGAACCAGTTGTGCAGACAGGCCCCTAATATTATATTTCTTTTTGTACCAGTACTGCTATAATAGCATTGGGACCCACATTTGTTTTGTGGCATGGTCACTGAATAAATCTAATTGTTTCTTGCTACAGAAGAAGCAGGTTACAGTGAAGAGAACCACAACATGATGACAGCGCCTGTCCCAGAAGACGCGGATTTTCTGCCGTTCACAGACGAACCACCACTCGAAGCAATCTCTGTCCCAAGTAAAGTCGTTAAACAGTTATCCATGCAATATTACATTATTATTATCAGCAGTAATGGCCACCCCATTGCTCTCCAGCCACAGCTATCCCCGCATGCTTGGAGCAATCTAGTTTTGCTCATGCAAGCCAGATCAGTGAAAATCGAGCTGTAGTGCATTTAGAATGTCATGAGCCAAGGTTGGAACATGGGATTAAAGGTAAAGGGACCCCTGAGCATTTGGTCCAGTCGTGGCCGACTCATCTTGCTTTACTGGCCGAGGGAGCCGGCGTACAGCTTCTGGGTCATGTGGCCAGCATGACTAAGCCGCTTCTGGCGAACCAGAGCAGCACACGGAAATGCCGTTTATCTTCCCGCTGGAGCGGTACCTATTTACTTGCACTTTGACATGCTTTCGAACTGCTAGGTTGGCAGGAGCAGGGACCGAGCAACGGGAGCTCACCCTGTGGCAGGGATTCGAACCGCCGACCTTCTGATCGGCAAGTCCTAGGCTCTGTGGTTTAACCCACAGCACCACCCATGTCCCGGAACATGGGATTACAATCACACAAATGAAGTGTAGGAGAGGAAGATCCAGCCAGTTTGACATTGACTGTAAGAGGTCAGCAGTAGCAAGGGAGACGGAACAGGAATAAACCACCAAATCTTCCCTTTCCCCCAACCCAACACACCCTAGCAAGCATCAGCTACAAGCAAGACAACTGGCCATCTTTCTGCACTAGACAGTGAATATTCATGGCCAGAGAGCGTGTGTGCAGATAAGTAGTCTGAGGCTGTTCCCATGATTCTCTGGACTGGAGAAACCTATGCAATATATCAGCTATCATCCCACCCAGAGCTACAGGAAAGTCCATCTACCTTTGCTCCATGATTCTTTAGTTTAAGTTTGTTTGTTTTTTTGCCAACTCTTGCAGCTCAGTGCAGCTCACAATGTAAAAAACAAGGTATAAATAAAATTTACAAAGCAAAACAATAAAGCCAGCTATAGAACAGATCAGAAAGAAAATAATTACTGCTCCATAGCCGCACATTTTATTTGAAAGTTCTTAGAATTTTTAGACATTTTCACTTTATTACCTACAAGTCAACAGCGAGCAGAAACACACTGTGTTTTGTTGCTATTCACCTTTTGCCTTGTTTTTTACAGATTTGGTTACTGAAGTGACAAATGAACATATGAATAATGCCCAAAGATATGAATTCTTTGAGAAATATGAAGGTAAATATGAACTACTTAAATGGAAGTAAAACAACCCATTAAGATTTTAGGTAAGGTAGGATTAACAGCTTGCTCTTCCCTGCTCATCTTCCTGTAATGTGCTGTAGTTTTGTGAAAGCGAGCATTACCTAATACATCAGGGGTATAATTTCAGCTCCGTTGTCCTGTGTTTATTGACTTAGCAAACTACTGCTATCCCCATTCTATTTTTAAACACTTGATTTATGCCTTTCAGTTGGGTTTATTCGGCTAAAACACATTTTGTGTGTATTCAGCTGAAAGAGAGCAAACATTTTTCTCTTCCTGTGTCAAATTGTTTGCCTAGACCTCAATTAGAAAATTAACAGGGCAGATTTTTGTTGTTGGGTTCCTTAAGCCACAGTTTAAACCTGTAATAAAGTAAGACACATAAATCAGAGCTGTGGAAAACAACAAAAAGGTACTGCTTCATTTGTTTACTTCATTTAATTCTGTAAACCAGCTGCAAAGCTGCAGTTTCAAAATTCATCACACAAGGCAAAAACAAATGATGTGAACATTTATAATGGAGCACTGAAACTCAGTCCTTAGAATCACTTGTCAGCAGAACTTGATGCAGTAGACAAAGGAACAGTTACATCGAATAATGTATTGCTGTACGAAAGGCTAATGAAAAACACCAAACAAGCCACCTTGTCCACACCCTCGTTAAGCCCAAAGTATGCGGATTAAGATGACTTAGTCACAGCAGAAACATTTCATCTTTGTAGTCAGCCCCTAGTGAAAATAGAGATTTTTAATGGCATTAGTGTTTTTTATCATGAGGTAAAAGCTACAAACCCCAGTGTAAATGCTGGATTTTGGATGCCAGAGCAATGCGGCTGCACCATTCAAAGGCTTAAGGACTGCCAGGTTTAGGGGCACTGCTCCTGTGTGCCAGATTTAGTGGAATATATGCCCAGCTTTTGTGTGTGCTGATTTCTCTGGGCTTCTGTAGCTTGGGTCTGAAGCCAAGGAAGTACTGGCAGGGTCTCCAAATCCAAGATCAAGCTTGAGTCCCTTGGCTCTGCGGCAGTCAGGCCTGGAAGTATGGTGGAGTCAGCACACACAGCCCTTAGGGAACAGAGACATATCTCCTAACTGCCTCAGTCCTAAATACTAAACAGGATCCCAATTGGTTTCTGGAAGGGGAAACGTCACTTTTATACCCCAGACAGATGGGATAAAACTGAACACGGTGAAATTGGATTGTGGAAAATAAATTTCATTCCCCCCCTCTCCATTCTGCTTGCATCTTTAAAAAAAAAAATAGGAGAGAGTGACAAAAGGACAAATAGATAACGAGATTGTAAACCAGCAATCTTGCATCACCTAGTGGCATTGCTGAAGAAAAAATAAATAAATCTGGTAGCACGGAAGCATTGCGGAATTGCTTTTGTGGAAGTGGCAAAGAGGTGATGGAGCATATAGCCCTAGCATACAACTCAAAGGGTTTTAACCTACATCTAGCTCTCATTCATATTTGCACCATAATGGAAAGTATTTAAAAAGGTAGGAATGGGAAAGTGGTTTGGCTGGATTGTGAGACGGTAATTTGCTCTGCCACCAGAGTGCCATTGCAGCTGGTATAGGCATCAGCCTTATAAGCAGTGCTGTCAAAAAGTTTTTACTTCATACAGGCTGCAGATAGGGCAGCTTTGGATATTTCGAGCAAGCAGTGCCAGCCACCTGCACTGTCTTTTCTATAGTAGTCAACAGCAGTGCTTGTTTGCATTGTCTGAAAAAATAATAATGAAGCTTTTGCACAGGAAAGGCATGCAGCCTGCTTTTGCACCTGCAACCTGTGCGACTTTGCTGTGCAACATGACCTTTGAACATTACAAAGGCACTATCAGCTGTCAAAGGGATTGGAACTCTGCTGGGTTTAAGTTCGACACCTCTTAAACAGCTTGCACAGCATAGAGTTAAAAAGATTGTAAGGGAATTTGAAACCACAGTGTGGAGTGCCACCAAAATCAGGAGATGTCAAATTTAGGAGTAGGTCAATTGCCTGTTCTGGATGGTGTTGCCCTTACTCTGAAGAGCAGGCTGGTACTCCTTGATCCATCTAGTGGTTCAAGTGACCTCTGCAGCCAAGAGTGCCTTCTACCAGCTTTAGCTGAAATGCCAGCTATGAACATTCCTGGATCAGGAGAACCTGCTCCAAGCTTTGGTAACCTCAAGACCTGATTACTGTAACACACTTCGTGGTGGGCTGCCCTGATATCTGGTCCAGAAACAGTCACTAGTGCTGCCTGCAGTGGCCAGGCTGCTCACAGGAGCAGGTCACTGGTACATGCTACTACTTTGCTGAGAGAGCTGCCCTGGTTGCCAATTTACTACTGGGCCAGTTCCAAGGTGCTTGTGTTTACCAGGAATTGAATCTTTAGTCTGGTAGGCTGTACCCTGTTGTCCTTTTCAGACTTTGGAATTTTTTAACCAACCAGTTTGTAGCGACATGTTCCTGATGTTTCTACCAGTGTTGTTACTATATTGTTTTTAGGTTGTTCGCTGCTTTAAGTGCCACTTCTAAATATTTAAATAAAACAGAGAAGAAAAATAAATTTAAACACAGATTCAAAACTTTTTATTTTATTTATTTAATTACCCTTCAACTTTTTCCTCACTTGTGTGAGAATGCAAATACCTATTTCCACAGAGCAAATCCACCATCTGTGCACAGCTTATCGCCTCTATACAGGTTCTGAAACTCCATGGTGCCATTGACCCTGCTTGTGACTGTCTAGCAATCATGCGTTTGTGATTTGGTTGCCGATTCTCCCACATAATGGAAAAGAAAAAAGCAAGTGGGATTTGGGTGCACATTAGCTTAAACTTACGTGCACTTACCACAGCATTTAACGTAACTTAGAATGACTTTTTTATTATTACAGCTATGCTATAGCGTACAGCTTTATCAGATTAGTTTTCAGCAACAAGGTTTTGACAACAGCGTTCCTAAGAACTGCAGTAGTGTTGAGTATGAAACATTGTTAAATTGTGAATAATATATGATATGATTCTGTGTTCGTTCCTTTAGGTATTCAGGGCAGGAAAAAAGCAAAAGCTGCAGACCTTAAAGACCTGCTAAAGCACATCATCATAGCCTGTGTAGCTGTCACTGGTTTGATCTTGACTGTAATAGTTGTTGTGCACATATACACTTCATTATTTGTGAAGAAGGAGCAGTAAGTCACTGTTTCATTCTCTCCTCCCTCTCATCACTGTATCATTCAAATTGCTTCCTAACAACTTGCACCCAGTCCTTGACATTTGCGCCTACTTTAGAATGCTGATATAACGCAATGGGCGTAATTGACGCAGTAGTAGATGCAGGCCAATCAAATCCAATTTTTGCTGGCATAGCCATCTAAGAATCATAATATCCAAGTTGAATAACAACAGGATTTATGATTCTGAAACCAGCATTAATTCATAATGGCAAAAGGCAAGATTTGCATTTCAGTTCTAAACACAGATACTGCTGTATCTTATTGCAGAACAAGTCACTATAGCACACACTGCTGTGACTGTAGTGGTGCTCAATACGGTAGCACCCCCATCCTCGTGTGTTCTGCTTCATGTGCAGCTTTGGAAAATCAATAGTCTGCAGATTCTGGCCCATTTTCCACTGTCCTTTTCTTCCAGATGAAAGGCAAAAATGCTCCCTAGATTTAACAATGATTTACTTTGCTTATCGTTATTACATAACTGTGATAACCACATCCTTCTCCACACTCCCCGTTCTCCTCAGCACAGGATGTTTCATGATAGTTTGGATCTGCGGTGGGTTGAAATCCTCAGTCAGTCATGAAGATTACTCCGTGGATTGGGCAACTATCTCGGCCTAACCTCCTTCACAGAGATTTTAGCTCAGCACAGTTTAGGATTTATCTATATAAAGCTGATCTAATCCTCTGTAAGAAGGCCATACATTTAACGCAGCTCTTGGGACTTCAAGTTGGGCATACCCTTCTGCTAGCTAGGGAGGGCCAATGCAACCAAACTTATTTTCTTTTTCTTTGAGGTAGGAAGCAAGTTGGGGAATTGACAGCTCTCAGAATAAGCAGCCAATGTGTTTTCCTTGAAGCAGCAGCAACGGGCAAGGGAGTGACTTGGCTGCTGTATCACTGTTTGATGTTATGGCTTCCTTTCATAAAAAGATTGGTATCTATTAAAACAATTTCATCATTCTCTTAGGGAACCTGATAAAACAAATTCTGACAAAAAAGGCGGACCTGACAAAAATGAAGTCACATCGGCCGAGAAAACCAGAAGCCAACAACCACATTACAATGTTGGCATTGAGGGAGCACAAAACAAACAACCATATTACAATGCTGGCGTTGGGGGGACACAAAACCAACAACTGGAATATGCTGTTAACATTGTGGAAACAGGAAGCCAGCAGCTAGAAGACAGCGCTGTTGGAACTGACAATCAAAACAACAACAACTTAAGTTCACCACCAGAAATGTTTTCATCAACAGATTGTGATTACATCAAAAAGCCTTTAGATCTCCATCCTGTCAAAGCTATGTTGTCCCCTAGCTCCCCACCAGAAGACACTGGCTTGCTTCTCCCGTTTGAACCTTCAAGGCACAGTGCCCATAATAGTTTGCCTTCGTACAACAGCAGCACATGTAAGAACCTCAAAGTACAACCTAGAACTTTCAGAACCAATCATAGCTCTTATAAACGTCCAGGAAATTATGGTAAATCCAAAGATCATGACTATAAAAGACTTCAAGCCAAAGATACTGCTTGTTACAAAACCAAACCAATCTACCAAAGACCATCTAGGCATAGACCCAAATCCACAGAACCCGGAAGAGGACACAAAAAGGTTTCAGCTAAGCAACATAGCTACAGCAGCTCAAGTTGGGTTGAAGATCCTTCATCAAATGTTTCTGCTGCTTTAGACACTACCAAAAACTCCAAGGAGTCAAGACTGTCCCAAGATGATGACTCAGACTGTGCATGTTTTCAGCATATCAAAGGTTCTTCTAGTACAGACTCATATTCGAATTAGAGCAGCACAGAGAGGAGGGACTTATTGTTCAGTATGACTGCTGTCCGGAAGTGTGCAGTCCTATATTTTTACCATGGTTAATCATGATGGAACACTATAGTATCCTGGAGAACACATGTTGCAATCATGCTATTGAATAATAAAAAGTAGGTTTGGTGTTGGGTTACAGGAGTTGCTAATCTGGCTTCTTGGATTTGTCCAATTAAATTATTTTCTGCTTGAAGTGTAATATGTGCTCACATTCTTTAACAGGCACTAATTCACATTTGGGGGTGGGGATAGAAAAAAATAGAGCCCTGCGCTCTGCAAGAACATGCAGTTCTTTGCAACATGAGTGTCAATGAGAAACTGCAACAGTATTAAGTATTTGGGGTCTTAAAACTCACTGGCACTATTAATGTTGAAACGAAGGAGAAATGTATTGCACACCCGAATACTAAGGGACCAGGAAGCTATTGCAGAGGGTTTAGCTTTTAGCTTTTTCCATTTTCTAAAAAATCCTTACTAGGAAACAACAACAAAAAACCCACACCCCAAGCACCTGGTAAGGGACATTATTTTACCACAGAATCAGAAATAGTACAATATACTCTTGGCTCCACAACCTATGCAACTGAAGTACAGTAATAACTTACAGAGCTTTCAGAAACAACTCTGTGACACTGGAGCCAACAATCTCCATCTCTGAGGCACAGTGCAAGTGTGTTTTAGTCCAGAGGGTGCTGTCCATCCCCACCTCGGAGCCTGGCAGGATGAAGGAGAAAAGGAAATATCTGTAGTAAGCTGGTCTCAGTTGTTTCATAATGTACACTTGACATTCTGCATGGGTATCGAGACAAGCTAAAGAAAAAGCGGCCCTATAATTCAGTAATAGTTTTATTAAATCAGGCACTTTGTCAGAAGAAACAGAAAAAAGTTTGAAAGATAATTGTGTTTATTTTCTAAGCTTTTACCTGTGAATATAACAAATGGATAATTGAGTGGTGATATATAGTGACTTTTTTTTTTTACAAAAATGTTTCCCCCTAACATCTGGACAGCAATATATAAATATTTACAATGGAAAAATAGGCAAGGAAAGAGAAATAAGTAGTCTTCATTATCCAAATTAATTTCTAATACATCAGATTTGAACACAAAATACTTCATTCACATCTATTCAATATTTACATGTTTCATTACTGGAGATCACTGAGGTTTTAACTTCATTTCTACTATTTGTTGTGTTGGACTTCTGTTATGTTTCTAATATTTGTTTCTGTAAAGCAGTTAAAAAATTTCTGGAAAAATAAATCAGTTTTGAAAATGTTGAAAACATTAATGTGTGTAATTTTAAGTGACTAATTTTTTCCCCACACAGTCAATACACCACAACACTGAAAAAGAAATGAGATAGACTTCTGGCCAGATTCTTAAACTGGCAGGTTTTAAAATAAAAGTGGTTTCTAAACTGAAATGGAAAATTACAGCCCTGCTTAGTGTAAAAGGAAACAAGTGTGTGTTTGCATGTGGATAAAATGTCCTGACGTCAAATATCAATGATGGTGGAATGTGCTTTAAAAGCCACAAACAAAATATAGTTGGTTGATTAATGGACTACCAAAGCAAAATTGCAACAGTTTAAACCCATTTAGTAATCTCAACCATTAAATATAAAAAAATAAGCCATGTTGCTTTCTGCACAAGTGTTGCACAATCACATGACTGAAAACAGGTTGCTTGCAATAATGACAAACACCTATTGCATGCCATTTGGTTTTAGTATGCCAAGTTGACTGCCACAACCAACAACGGGTTACACATCCGTGATCCTGGTTTACATTCATTGCAGGGAGATTTATATATGTGAATTACGCCGCCCTCTAGTACCCAAAGAAACCCTAAGCCTGGGCTCCCTAGCTTTATAATGTTCATTGAAATCCAATCTAAAGCTAAGAAATCGAAGACTTTCATCAGAACTGGTGGTCAGTAATACCAAGAACTGCTGCACAATGCCCTGAAAGAAAGAAAGAAAAACAGAGAAATTAGGCATTCATAAGAAGTCACACAAATGAACGTGTGTAATGGAATAAAGGTGTGAAGCATGTCACCATTCCATAGCAATCCTTGAAAATTCCACTATATATAACAAGTAGAAACTGGCTCCTGCAATGCCCCGTCCTTATAAAAGCAGGTGAAAAGTTAGTGAATTTCCTGTCTTGAGTTTTGACGGGGCGGTTTTTAACAAAGCGAATCCACAAAAATTATTCTAGCAAGAATGCTTCATAAAAATGTTGTCTACCTACAGTGGCAATGGTCAGCATAAACACAGACTCTGGAGTGCAATCATTTACGTAGGCACTTTTATGTCTGGGACAAACTCTATGCACTTGGTTCTTTATCTACTGAAGCCAAATGCCACATTCCCTAATGTATTCATAACATAACTTTTATTGTTATTGCCTTCTTCCAAATCCTGGAAAGGCTTGCATGCCACATTAAAACAGTGTGCACTTTAAACCAGAAAACAGATACTGGCTATCAGTACGTCAATATTTTAAAAATTCCTCTTTTAAAAAATACCTGATAGAAATGGGTAAGTAGTCGCAGCTGTGAACACATTTTTGGTATTGAATCTTGAAATTCTTTAATCCTTTTAGTTTCCTCTTCCTCTTCTGAAGCTTTTACTCCCCATTCACCCTTAACAATACACATTGTAAAAAAGAAAAAAAGGAGAAATTACCAGGTACACATCAATAAATCTGAAGCCACATGCTAATTTTTGTTTTATTAAGAGGAAGTGCCTTAAATTTAGTTGGTGATCTCTTATGTTATAAGCCAAGAAGTTAAGACAGAAGAAACTTCTTACAAGCAATACATACCAAGCATGAAAAAGAATTCAATTTGTGTTTTAATGGGGGGGGGAATTAAGGTTTGAGCTTCTGCCCCATTGTCCATTGCAGCTTCTAGGCTACCCCAATCTGGGTTAAATTTACTGTGTAAACTTTCTTAGAAGCCCCATTGAGCATAGTGCAACTTGCTTTTGAGTAAACATGCACACACTTGCTTTTCATATTTATACTTTATCCAAATACCTATTTGCTCAGTCTTTCAAAGAAAAGGAGGGGATATTAGAAGGATTATTTTTTGGTATTGAACACAAGCAGCCTGTTGTGTTCACATCATTCTTGTGCTGAAAATGCCACTGAAAACTCCTTTGTACCTCAAGCTCTCTCTCTCTCTTTCTTTCTTCAAACTGCAACCGTAAATGTAACTCCTCCAAGGCAACGCGGTACAGGCCATCTTGGGCATTTTGAAACTCAAGAATCTGATCAAAGACAGCTCGAAGCTGGTTGAGCAGCATCTACAAAAAAAGTTGCAAAAGGAAGACAAAACCTCCAAAAATGAAATGTTCAAAGAAAAGCTAAGATTTGCCAGCCTAAAAGAAACTGCTGAAAGATTGTTCTATTTAATATCTCCTCCTAGAGCAAAGGGATACATGGAAAAATATATTTCAGTACGGAGTTTCTCCCAGAACATCCCCTAAAGGATTAAATTTACCAGGGCTGTAATCCTAAACTTTTTTTTGCTTGCAACGAAGGCCCACTGAACGCAGTGGAATTCATCTCTGAATAAAACTCCATTGCGTGTTGCCAGCAATACTCTCAAAAGCATAAATAATTACAGAAATAATGTTAACATTATATATAAATAGGTAAATGAGACTTACTCTTGAGTCAGCGTCCAGCAAACAGCGAGATATAATTGTATCTAAGAAAACTTCATGAGCCGCAATGATGTGATCCAAGTCTTGAGCCTGCTGAACTTTTTTCCATAGTTCATCCCATGAACATTCAAGCACCTAGGGAACACAAGATCCAGCAATGAGATTCACTTTGTTTTAGAGACTGTTTAAATAGCAACTTCTCTGCTCTATACCTCTGTGACATAATTAAGCTCACGCCAATAAGAACGTTCTTCCAACTTCAAACAAACAAACAAACAACAAAATGGATGGTTAAAGGGTACCTCAAATGTAATGTAATACTGCATTTGATGAATGAAATGGACCATTTCTGATGCCAGAACGTGACACTGATGCAGCACCCCAGAAAGTTCTGTAAGAAATTCAAAGAATATGTATATTAAAACTCAGAATGGAAATGTTCATCTAGCCATATTTTTAAAACACACACACACACACACACACACACCTGAAATACAACAGCTACCTGCACCCATCTTTGAAAGGAGTAAGACATACCGTTTTTAACACACCAGACCATAAGATGCACCTAGTTTTTGGAGGGGGGAAATAAGAAAAAAAATATTCTGAATCTCAGAAGCCAGAACAGCAAGAGGGATCTCTGCGCAGTGAAAGCAGCAATCCCTCTTGCTGTTCTGGCTTCTGGGATAGCTGCGCAGCCTGCATTCGCTCCATAAGACGCACACACATCTCCCCTTACTTTTTAGGAGGGAAAAAGTGAGTCTTATAGAGCAAAAAATACGGTATATAAATTGCTAACGGGTTCTCAAAGAAAGGAGACTATATGTGGACTATCATTTTAATCTCAGTATATTTACGGCCACAAGTTCAGCATTTTCCAGAGGCATGATAGCCTCTGCCTGCAATAAATAAACCCCCATATTAACAGAAAATATAATACAGGATCAAACAAGAAAATGAAATTAATAGTATAGATTGACAAAACTCTGGAGATCTGGTACAAAACAAGATTTGTAATCGAAAGGAATTAGAACGTGGAACAGAATAATAGGTAAAAGACCTTTGTGGCTGGGAAACAAAGTCTGCTTGGCACTGCTGTAACAGGTGGCAATCCACTAGCAAAGGAGCCTGAACAGAGCTCTTCTTATGAGAAGGTTAATTTTTCACAGCAACATATACAAAACATCAGATGCCTAAGCCCCCCCTCTGGCTTGCCACAAGAGATTTGGAAGGACAAACTAGGAACTTTCAAGATACAAGATTACTTAGGAAAATCTTTAACTAATGATAAAGTGAGTATAAATGTTAATAAATTGAGTCCCTCATAGATGAAATTGTGTGCTGGGGAAGGAATGCGTGACCTGGCAGAGCAGATGAAAATATTCTATATACAGTATGATTACGCATTATACAAAAATATCTCTTGTTTTTTCCAAAATGTATCAAAAGCTCAGAGGCAAACTGGACTTCTCTCTCAACATTTTGGTTGAGACACATCAGCACTACCCAATTTTGTCTTGGATTATCGGAGCAAACTGCATCAGAATGAATGAAGCAAACCAATGACTATACCAAGATGACAAAGATCTATACGGAGCAAAATTGCCAAGATCTATACAGAGCAAAAATTACATGAGAAAGAATAACCTGCAGCTATCTGTGGGAGGAAAATCGCCCCCCCCCCAGCTGCTAGCCAGAAACAACCAGAAAATATATGGAATGAAGAGCAATAAAAAGTCTTCCCCCTAGAATATTCATACTGGATATTTCCTAATAATTAGAAAATGTCTAGAGCAAATAATTCCTGGTTAACAGAGAAATTGTAATAATACTGCTGGATGAGGATTGGGTCCCAGATCACAGGGTTTAGAATAGGTTCACATCTCTCATTGCCCACTCTTTTTGAGACTTACATCACTGTAAGCCCTGCTGGCTGAACCAGGGTAAAGGACTTAATACCAGTGTATGTATGGCTCAGCTGAGGTGAAGAACATAGGTCAGCATAGCCGACGGGAAACCCCCCAAATCTGCTGAACACAAACTCTCTCATCCCCATGAATTTTGGGTTTGGATCGTGCTGTCAAGATCTCTAAACTAGGGATATAATCCTAATATAGGAGTTAGAGCCATTAAACACAACAAGGCTTCCTTCTGAGTTAACATGCTTAAATTCTGAGTCTGCATCCTTATTAGTATGAACTGCAAACAGTAACAGTCAAAATAGTGACTACGGCTATTGGAAAAATCGACTAGGTGATACCAAGGTGAAGGTTACAGCAACAACAGCCTATGAGAAATCATGAATTGCAGTCAACAAGGATTGCTGGAAAAGCCACAGAAAAGGAAGTATCACACAGATTGCTTAATTCTGAACTGAAGCTCAGTTATGATGGATCTTCATCATTTTTCTTATACTAAAGCCTTTGTTTGTTTGTTTTTCTTGGTCCAACTTCTTCTAAAAGGTGCTGTGGAACCAGAATGTCTATTTAGGTGAATTCCAAGAATAATGTTCTGAAAAACAATCACATTGAGTTACTTCAGTTCGAACATGAATGCCTACTTATGCCTCTCCTTTATATACCTTAGCACTTTCCGTCTCATTCCATCTTGT